TGAAAGTAAAACTTCAGCCTATTTTAAGACAATTTGGGAGATTAGAAGGCAGGAGAACAATAATCCTATTAAAAAGGTTTTATTTGGTCTGGCATTTACAGATAAAGGTAAATAAAAGTTTAAGAGTAATCACAGACTAACTCAGTCCCACATGGACAAATAGTATATAAAACCATTCTTGTAGAATGAGTATGAGGATCCAAGGTGGGTGGGGGGGGGTTAGAAGCAGAGGGGTGAAGACGTGTGGGGACAGTGGAGATTAATCATGGAATAGTACAATTTGATTGGGAAGGTGAGGGAAATTGGAAGACTCTGGTTTGAAAAACAGTGTATTCAAATTTTGCAAATAAATTAGTATAAAAGTTTTTAAAAAGAGTAATCACAGGATAAAATTAGTTTGTGGAACAACTGAAACTCCAGAGATAATAAAAGAAACTAATCCATTTAAACAAAAAGAAGAAGAAAGGAAGTAAAACTAGTCCATTAATGCCAGACATAAATAATCCAAATACCTCACGGACTAGAGTGATTTAGACTTCTGTGACGTGTGTTTTTAAAAAGGTGGTGAGGGAGTTCTGGTGGCCTGATGGTAAGGAGCTGTGCAGGCAGTTCGAATCCACCAGTTTCTCCAGGAGAGAAATGGACAATCTCCTCCCATTCCATTTACAACCTCTGAAAATCTGCTGGAGGGTCAGCAATGAGTCCGTTCCAACACAGCAGCACATGACATAAACAATGATGTGTTAAAATGTCTTTATATATTATTCTTTTCCTCTGTGTTTACAGTGAGTCCTATGGAGTCTTTTGAGATAAGCAAAGAACTACCCTGTTTGTCTCACTTCTCTCCCAAGGTCCCAAAGGTGACAGCAGGGTCATTTTAAAGAGATTGTGAGGATGGGGCAGAATAGGACAAAGTTTGGCTGGACACAGAGTCACACTGAGTCAGAGGCGCCTCAAAGGCATCTAACAACAATCTTTGCCTGTTGGGGGAAAAGGCATGACCAGCAGCTCCCAGCTGGCCTACTTTCTAAGGCCTCTGTTAACTTCACTGTCTTCCATTCCTCAGCCTTGTTGCGGCTGTTTGCCGTAGAATCGGAATCAACTTATAGCTGACTTTCCAGCAGGTTTTCAGAGGCTTTAAATCATCTCGGAGGAGACTGTTCACCTTTCAGTGGTGGATTCTAACTGTGGGCCTTAGGGTTAACAGAACAACTTCTTACCACAAGGTCATGAGAAATCATTCTCAGCCTAGGCTCAGTTCCTTCTGAGCCTCCACGTTTGAAGATCACAACGCCTTCATCACAGTAACTTCACAACAACCATGTTGGGAGTCAGATTCTTTGAGGCTGTTTTGCTTCATTAATATAATCCCATCTGGATCACATTTTTAAAATTTTTTTATTATTTTTATTATTTTTTTTTTAATGTGTGTTCCGTCAAATCGGATCTGATTGATAGAGGAGGAGATTGCCCCTCCGTCTCTAGTACAGCATCTGGTGGATTCGAACCTCACACCTCTGGGATTGAAGTGCAACTTCTCGCCACTAGGCCACCAGAGCTCACCCAGCTCACTTCTTTTTTTTTTAAAGTGCCTTTGAAAATATCTGGCAATATCCCCGTTTTCTAACAGCTTTAGTGTTTTTCCTTCTTGTCATCGTTCATCACGTCTAATTATTTCCTGAAGGGAAAAAAATAAATGCACCAGCTCAAGCCATCACATTCAACTAAATGTTTTGTCTATATATTATTCTTTGTTGTGATTTTTGTGTTTATAAGAGTGTTATAGTTTGTTTGATAATTTTTAATCAAAGTTCTGGAAGAAAGGCGTTTCTTAGTTTTCTAATTTTACAAGATTTGTGAGGAAAACAATGGTTTCCTGACTTCTCTTCCTCTATAGTTGATTCTTTTTGTGTTTTCTGTTGTAACTCCAAATCAGACTTGTATTGGAACTTGATTTTCCCATTTGAGGCATTATGTATTGACTTCTCACTAGGAAGCTGAGAACCTGCCTCTGGCTTGACCCCCTTTCCTTACCACACAGAAACAGGCTTCCCCAGATCTTTCCTTTCAATAAACCCACTGCCTTCTATTCCGTTCTCACTGATAATAGCCCTGTAAGACAGAGCAGAGCTACCCCCATATGGTTTCCAAGATTGTAGATCTTTATAGAAATATATGTGTCATATCTTTCTCCTAAATAGAGGCTGATAGATTTGAACCACTGTTTTGTTGGGGATTTTTTTTTCTTTTTCTTTTTTTCCCCTCCCTTTGGTTAAAAGTCAAGCATTTAATCACTGAGCCTCTCAGGTTCTTATTTCCAACAGAGTTATTTTAGTCAAATCTATATACAGTGCTTCCTTTATGAGTGCTTCCTTTACTTTTCAGAGTTGTATCATATAGTAAACGATCATTGCTTTTCCCATTAAACTTTGTTTTGTTGGTTGTGTTGTTTTTCTTGTTTCTATTGTGATAAAATATATATAACAAAAAGTTCTGATTTTAGCCATTTTCCCATGTACAATTCAGTGACTGTAATTAATTACATACACCATTCCATGCAGCCATCACCACTAAGTCTTTCCAAGTTCTCTTCACCTCAAAGAGAAATCCAATGCCTTTTCAGTAATAACTCCTCATGCCTCCTTCCCTCTAGGCCCCAGCAACCACTGATAGACTTTTGTCTCCATGCACTTGCCTATTCTAGATATTTCATTTCAAATAAATTAGATCACTCAGTACTTATGCTTTTGAGTCTGACTTATTTCACCTAGTGAAATGTTTTGCTAAATTATTTTTCCCTAGTACTAGCAACAATTAACCTTTTTCATTAGTCATTTTCCATCTACTATTTTTTATCCACTTTTTTTTCATCTACTATTTTTTTGAGTGAACAATAAATTCTTTGCCAGTTTCTTTCTCTTCCACCCATTCATGCCATCTAATACTCCAGCATTTTGATCTTCTTGAAGGAATCTCTCCGCCACTCCCCTGACTACTATCTTTCAAATGTCTCCTGATGCTCGGTTATCATCCTGGCAATTCCCTTTACCACTGCTCCAGGGATTTGAGTAATCTCTCTTCTGCATCAGATTCCTGTTCTTTACAACACATGTTTTATTTCTCAGTGTACTTTCTCATTTTGCAAGAACATAGGCTATGTTATTCATTGTTGTTATGTGCTGTTGAGTCGCCTGTGACTCATAGCAACCCTATGTACAACAGCTCTGAAATCTGCTCTGTCCTGAGCCAATCTCACTGACTCCAACATACCTACCCCATTGCCCCAGTCACTGTATCAATCCATCTCATCTGGAGTCTTCCTCTCCTGCACTGTCCCTCCACCCTTCCAAACATGATGTTCTTCTCCAAGGAGGAAGGATACTCTATCCACATGCCCAAAGTACGTGAGATGGATCTTCAAACCTAGCCTCCAAGGAAAAACTGGGTTTTGCCCTCTCTCCAAGACAGGCTTAGTTGTTTTCCTGGCAGTCCATAGTATGTTCAATACTCTTCTCCAGCACCACAATTCAAAAGCATCGATTCTTCTTCTGTCATATTTTGTTAGTCATTGTCCAGCTCTCTGGTGCTTGGCAAGTAATTGAGTAATTGCAAAGACCACAGTCTGGGTCAGTTTTGAAACTTTAGCTTTTGAAGATCTTTATTCTATTCTTATGCTTGACTGACAGTTTGGTTGGATATTTTATATATATATATATTTCAGAAAAACCTTTTAGGTCACAAAAAGGTAGTAGTTACATAGTACATTCAACTAAGGCTTTGCTACTTGTAAATGCTGAATCCCAAAGATCCATGCCTTCTGCTTCTCTCCAAGATGTTTGTCTTAAAATTCCAAATACCATGGAGAACATTATGCTGAGTGAAATAGCTCAGTCACAAAAGGACAAATACTGCGTAACACCACTGTTCTAAAACAGGACTGACATGGGGGTTAGGAGGGAAACAGAAAAGAGGGGATAGATCATGAACACTGTATTGGAACAGATGAAGGGAAGAACTGTTTAAAAGGAATATATAATTAGGCATGATCTGTATGAAACAGTCCAGAATAAAAGGTATAAAGCATAGTGGATTGGGGTGGAGGGAGGGGACAGAGGAAATTAAGCAACAATTACTGATTTTTTTAAGTGAACTGGGTGAGGGGGAGGGAGAAAATGTACAACAATGAATGAATAAAAATCCAACTTTTCTGTACACTTTCATTAAAGTCAAAATCAAAAAGAAAAAATTTCATACAGGCTTATGTTTCTGTTTCTTTTCTATTTTAAAAAAGGGATCCATCTGTGATGACTATTTGGTGACCGTTTGCTGTCCTCACTGTTCCCTTTGCCAAATCAAGAGAGACATCAACAGAAGGAGAGCTATGCATACTTTCTAGAAAGTCAGTGGTAAGTCAATGCAAACATTCATTCCAGAACCTCTAGGCTTTTAGAAATATAATTAAGTACTTTATAAGTTATGTCTTATTTGGGATAACAAGTAATTAATAACAATTGCTTAACTTTTATTTAAATATAAATACCAACTTTTTTTATTCTTAGGAAGAAAGAAGCTGTATAGCTTGAAACCATATTTTAATAAATCAAAAACTTGCTGCTGTTGAGTCATTTCCAGTGTCTAGTGGCCCTCCAGCAGTCATATCGTTGTTCTTATGTGCTGCCGAGTCACCTGAGTTTCATAGCGACCTGAGTTTCACCTGAGTTTCATAGTTTCAGGACAGCTCTGAACTCTGCCCTGTCCTGAGCCAGTCTCACTGCCTCTGACACACCTACCCCTATTACCACAGTCAGTGAGTTAATCCACCTCATAGAGGGTCTTCCCCTCCTGTGCTGTCCCTCCACCCTCTCAAGCATGACGTCCTTCTCCAAGGACTGGTCCCTCCTAGCAACATGTCCAAAGTATGTCAGATGGAGCTTCAAAATCCTTGCCTCCATGGAGCAGCTTGGTTTCACTCTCTCCAGGACATATTTATTTGTTTGTTCTCTCAGCAGTCCATGGTATGTTTAATACTCTTCTCCAGCACTGCAACCCAAAAGCGTTAATACTTCTTCTATAATCCTTAGTATTTATCCAGCTTTTTTATTCATAGCAAGTAATAACAAAGACCATGGCTTGAATCAGGTGCACCTTGGTCTCTAGACTGACATCGTAGCTCTTCAGTACTCTGGAGAGGTCCCTGACAGCAGATTTCCTCAATGCAATTAATATTTTTATTTCCTAACTGCTTGTGTACAATCTCACTAGCTTTAGTTTGCTTGGCTCCACAGTCAACAATCTTGGCACCAGCAGCCAGTAAATTAAAAGGCGCATTGCCATGGGAAAGTCTGCTGTTAGGGACCTCTCCAAAGTACTGAAGAGCAATGGTGTCTCTCTGGAGACTAAGGTGCGTCTGATACAGGCCATGGTCTTCGCAATCACTTGTTATGCATCAGAGAGTTGGACAATGACCAAGGAGAATAGAAGGAGAATTGATGCCTTTGAGCTGTGATGCTGGAGAAGAGTATTGAGAATACCATGGACTGCTAGGAAAACAAACAGATTTGTCCTGGAAAGGGTTAAATCGGGTGGCTCCTTGGAGGCAAGGATTCTGAGGCTCTGTCTAACATACTTTGGACATGTTGTGAGGAGAGACCGGTCCTTAGAGAAGGACATCATGCTTGGGAGGGTGAATGGACAGCGCAGGAGAGGAAGGCCCTCTATGAGGTGGATTGATTCAGTGACTGGGATAATTGGGATGGGAGTGTCAGAGACAGAGCGATTGGCACAGGACAGAGCAGAGTTTAGGGCTGTTGTACATAGGGTCGCTATGAGTCGCAAGCAACTCGACGGCACATAACAACAACAACAACAACAACTGCTAGTGTGGAACCAAGCAAGCTGAAATTGTTAACAATCTCAATCTTGTCTCCTTCTATTATAATGTGGCCATTAGCCAGGGGTGAGAATCTTTGTTTTCTTGCTGTTAACCTTCAATCCATATTGGAGACTACAGTTCTTCACCTCTGAAAACCCACTGGACGGGCAGCTATGGCTACGGTCCATCAGATATTGGGGGCTCTAAAAGGGCACTGAGGGAGACTGCTCATCTTCTTCCCATGGATCCACTGGTGGATTTAAATTAGAGATAAGCACCTTCTCATTAGCAGCACAATTCCCTATGAACTATGCCACCAGAACTGAACAGTGAGTTTTCTAGACATCTCGGAATTCTGTTGGTCAAAACTAATAAAACTCTTAAATTACTTGCAAAATACTAGAGAAAATAGTATGCTAAGACAAAAAAAAATTAGAACTCATGATCTCTATTAAGAAAAATTCACTTAGGAAACTGGTAAATAATTACAAAATAGCAAAGCAAATGAAAATTATGTTTTATGTACTATTTCAATTGTGACCTAAAGTGGCTATCATGGTGAAATGAGTTTAAATAGAAAAGGGGGAAAGCACTTACAAAGAGCTAAATGCAGAATTCAGAACATTGGAAAATATATAGAATTTCATTATCTGAAATGTAATCAATTAATTTTAAATTCGTTGTACCAAGATTCTTAGCTTTAGCTATTAGGAATGTGTTGTTGTTGTTGTTGTTGTTGCTATGTGTCATCGAGTCGTTTGCAACTCATAGTGACCCTATGTACAACAGCCCTTAACTCTGCTCTGTCCTGTGTCTATCGCATTGTCTATGATACACCCATCCGGATTACCCCAGTTACTGGATCAATCCACCTCATAGAGGGCCTTCCCCTCCTGCGCTGTCCCTCCACCCTCCCAAGCATGATGTCCTTCCTCAAGGACCTGTCTCTCCTCACAACATGTCCAAAGTATGTTAGACAGAGCCTCAGAATCCTTGCCTCCAAGGAGCCGCCCGGTTTAACCTTTTCCAGGATGAATCTGTTTGTTTTCCCAGCAGTCTGTGGTACCCTCAATACTCTTCTCCAGCACCACAGCTCAAAGGCATCAATTCTCCTTCTATTCTCCTTGGTC